TCAAAGGTTGGCCATAAGCTTCAGACATTAGTGATTTTTTCTCTCTTCGGAACCTTTCTTTATATCTCTTGAAGACTATCTGGAAGTTTTTGTGCACAGCATTTTATTTGATTTTTATCTTTTCTTGACTCCCGATTTTGTTGCAATCGTAGCTTTGTTTTTTTTTGCACCTTAGTGCCATTTAAAGATCATTGACTCAAATAGCTCCGCTTCTTTGATCAGTAATGGACCAAAAACTACCTGATCTGCGGTGTCCAACCCCCCTATCCCCTAGTAATTACGAAACTTTTGCTTGTTCTTATAACTTCTATGATTGCCTTCCCCACTCACTTTGTTCTAACTAAGTAAGAGCTAGCTCATTTTTTGAGCCCCTGCTGACATCATCTACCTCCCTCTTAACGTCGTCAATTTTCGTTTTCATGTTTTTGCTCTTTAAGGGGCATCGGGTTGCTCATAATGACATCATTCCGGGAAGAAGTCTATGCCTAGTCTATGCTTAATCATATGATCATGAATATGGTGCAAGAATTTCTGTAATTGCAGATATTCTATTATTTGATTAACGAAATCCAGCAAAAAACATAAGGCTAGAAAATTCTACCTTCAATATATTTTTTTTGCATTTTTGAGCTTGAAAAAGCTATACTATTTGCTTATAGTCAGCTAAATTGATTTGTAAACATCATAGTTCGCTATGATCTACAAAGAAAATTTTCAGATACTTTAAATTTTTTTAGATGGTGCAATCTTTCAGTTCATGTTTTGAACATTTTTCTTTGCGCTACCAGATTTCCTTTCAAAGTAGGGATACTGCTACTACTTTTTGAATTTTATGAGACCTGCTTTTGCCGTCATATGTAGTTCAAAGAAAACTTTTGCACATAACGTATGGTTCCTTTGTTTTTCGATCTTCGATTAAAATTTGGACAAGTGTTTAGATTTTAAAGAGCGATTTTTGAATTCTGACAATGGGAAAATGAAGAAAAATTTGTACCTGATTCAAGTGGCTTGGCGGCTGGAAGGCGGGGCTTTGTGACCAATTAAAGCCGCTCGCGCCCACAATGCAGTCTGCGTCTCTCTCGCGCCCGTGCTCTCTGATCATTACCTAGCCTTATTCAGGTCACGAAGCCCCGCCTTCCAGCCCCAAGCTAGTTGTATCAAAGGGTAATCAGAAACTTTTTGAAGTGCTTGATTGTACTGAAATTGTATTTCGATCGGGCAGATTTTTTTATGTGTGAAATACTGACTTTTGAATTTTTATGTAAAGAAGCGGAAAAATTTGTAGTTGAGCATTTTTGGAAGTGCTTGATTAATAAGCTTGCTTATTTGCACATATCCTTCGTACCTTTCAACATTTCTGGGCTTTTTAATAAAAATCATGGAATTTTTGTGGTTGATGGTGCTTTATTCGTTCCCAAAGTTTTCTCCAGCATTTCAAACATTTAAGAAATAATTATTTATCGCTTTGTGACTGCTTTGGGCTAGTCTGCTTTTGCTTTTCTGTTATTCCGAGAAACTCGTTACTCTGTGCTGCTGAGTTGCAGTAGACGATGTGTGTTTTTGTCGAAATGTCCATAAGTGCCTCAATTGTTCCGAGGTCTGTCTTTTTGGGGGTGTTCGGCTAATCGATTCTCGGTTGTTGAAAGGTTTCTGATGAAATCCCATCTGACATCCTGACGATGTTAGAGCTTCGAACGACAATATTCAAATAACACGACGACGACGAACGACGACGGCATTCTCTGTCCCTCTCTCTCTTCGGCGGCCCGTTCGTGCCTTCACTTGCCGCTTTTTCCTTCTCGCTCATTCAATTGCGCCTCGGTGTTTCCTATTCCCTGGCTCATCTCATTTTTTATTTCTTGCTAGTTTTCTCGATATACTTATCCCCGGCGGGAAGAGAAATTTTCTTAGGGATGAGCGGGAGGGGGGCACATGATTGGTTAAAAAAGGTTTATTTTGGCATGCAATTCTTCAGAAGAGGTTTGTTGATTTTTATTCGTGATTTCTTTATGGGAAAGTAGTTTAAACCTCTCACCATCTCACATGAAATATGTAGAGTCTTCTATCATCAGTAAAGATAGCTATGCTTGAACGTGGCTAAATTATCAAAGTCCAATTTTTTGAGTTTGTAAGCTTCGTTTTCATGATGTAATGGATGTAGAGAACAGCAGTTTGGTACTTAGATACAGAGGAACTTTCCCAATCTAGCGAACAACAATGAAAATTGTGATCTCTCACTTTGAAAATCTTAAAAAGACCAAATTTTCTCATATTTGTACACTAGTAGAATGTTGAGGTGGATCTTTGCGGATTGCGGATTTTCCTCCTTGAATGATAAGTTCCACTCAAACAGAATTTACACTCCATCTCCCTTTGGACTACTTTGTTTAGAGATACCAAGCACTGAACAAAAATTTGTCTGCAACATTTGTAAGAGCCTCAAAAGCGATCGAACTTATTTATTAGCCCTAATTTCTTTATCATTTATTGGTGCGAGTCTTACAATATGAGCAGAATAACACTGGAATGAAAGAACGCTTCATTTATTATGTTTTATAAATTTTTCTCTTGAAAGCTCGCACTGTATTCCCGATCTGCTCTTTTGGTTCGTTCTTTGAGAACAAGAAAACTTTGTAAATGAATTTCAAGCTCCTTTGTAATCCTCAATGTTCTAAGTGGATCATAAACAACGCCTTTATAAAACTTTCGTTAGTTGATTTTTTGTAGAGTTTAATGTTTCCAGCGTTAAAAATCAGTCGCACAGATCCTATGAACCATTTTCATTCCACTGAAGCGTTTTGGACCATTATCTTCCCAATCTCGAGGCTCGGCATAGGTGGCTTGTAAGCAAGCTGGATATCGTTTTTGGGACAATAAGCAAAGGGGATATCGTTTTTAAGCCGAAAAGACACAAAAAAAATTTTTTAGTCGACATTTCTTTTTTGAGGATTTTTTACGTTTAGGATTTGGGGTCAAAGGGAACTTCGTAAAAATTCCCAGATCCGAATTGGGCCGACCCTTGCCCATTTTTGAGTAGCAGGTGGGCGGAGGCAGGGGAAACTAAATTTATTCCATTTTTGCATGTAAGTTTTCTCATGAAGTCGTTTTATTAATTCATTTTTCAAGCGTTTTCGTCGTTTTTACTCTTTCCCAACTCAAGTTTTTCTCCCATTATTTATCTCACTTTCCATTTCTTTGCGAGGTTTCTTCATGGATTCGTTACTATGGCTCACGCGAGATCTTTGGCAATTTCATTTTATAACATTATTTTTGTTATAATTTTGTCCTTTTTTTAACGTCTTGATCAAATTTTTCCAGATTTCGTTTTTTCATTTCATCTGTTTAGTACATATGTCTCTCTGCACGTCTGGTACTGTTTATTGCTTCTACTAATTTGTCTCTAAATGGTTTTCCAGTTCTGGATGACGTCATAATATTACAAATTTGTCATTTTTACTGCATTATTTTACTCATTATTTACTGTATAACCTCCTTTTTATTACGTCATCTCATTTTTCATTGCGTTCCTTGCATTTTCCCGTTTATTTATAGCTGTGAGTGACACGCGTTTCCCAATAATTTTCATTTAATGACATCATCTTTTCTGACAACGTGCACATAATTTTCCAATGAGAGAAGCATTCTCGTCACGCAGGAAACCTTCCCCATATCGCTCTCTCTATCTCTACAATTTCCACCTGCTCCCTCTCTCATAGCACTTACTTTTTACGCTCTTCAGCAACTCTAGAGGAGTGTCTTCAATCGACAAAATCTAGAACTTTCCGTTTATCTACGAGAACATGAGCGTTCGGGAAAAAACGCGCTCTGCAATAAATTTTCCTCGAAATGTAGTAAATATTCGCTGTGTGCTGCTATGTCTACACGTACTTGTTTTTCAAGCTAAAGTTCTCGATTACATCTCCTCGCTCACTGGGGGGTGGATTGGAACATAATGGATCGCTATGAATATTTTGTTTACGCTTTGGGTTTACTCGCTTAGTTTCGTGATGGTTATATTGAAACTGCAGAAGTTCGAGTTTCACTATTTTTCTTGCTTAAGAATTATTGCCAAGTGTTTTTATGATTTGTAAATTGCCCAAAATCGACGTTCAGAGCCTATACTCAAGTCTCGCGACAAGTCGCGCCGCGACCGCACGCGGCACATACGGATGATCGCTTAGATCGAAAATGCTTTTTCGTGGGCAATTTTTTCTCAGACTTCTTCGTGGGAATAGACAAAACGAAAAAAAAATAGATTAAGAAGTACAAACAAATTGTTTGGATTTGAGCATTAAAGCGTTTGGAATCAAATGAAAATTTTACTATTGCCCTTCTTTCACTCCCTCCCTCCCCCCCCCCCTCTCCGCCTCCTCCCTTTATGTAAGCGATTCTCTGCGTTTCAAATGACATTAGCAACATGTTCAATTTAAGAACAACCCTTCAGCTCTTTTCTTGCTTTTTCTACGATTTCCTCGCAATTTTTTTATTTTCACATAGTTTTATTTTAGCACTCATAAATTTTCCCGTTTCAGCGAAGTCATATAAACTTTTTGTTTGTCCTCCAACTTCGATGGTTTGTCCGTAAGCGATAGAGCGCGAAGAAGAGATAACATCTATAAGTGGTGGTGATTGATGTAGTTTATTTCCTGGATTTTTTTTCTAATTTTCGAAACTGCAACATTTGGTTTCAAAATCATTCACTGGGACAGAAGTAGATTCACGTGGAATTTTGCAGTGACATCTATAAGCAGTCGGAATTTTCAAATTCTTTGCTGATTATTCTCTCGCACTTTCTATCGTTGTTCTCTTTTATCCCTATTAGTCGGTTTTTCTGTTCTTGCATCACTTTTTACTTTCTCATTTCCTTCGATGCCATGGCTTTTCGCAAAATCCATGCCATCGAAGGAAATGAGAAAGTAAAAAGTCCATCACAATATCGCGATCTTTGTGCTCTTTATTCATCCCTAATAAATCAAACCATGTATGAATTAGCTATATTCAGGTGATGAAGTGAGGTAATGACGCGGATCGACCCTTATAGCGCCTCGCTACGTGAGGAGCAGAAGGCGATTCTGAATGGACTGCTTGGTAAGTGGTGATTGAAGAGAGATTATTAACCTTCACCTATGGGTTGGGAATTATTGACAACTTGTTTACAGATAGGGAAGGGCAGGGCTCGGCACAGCTGGCACCGGGTCAAGCCGGATATCGTTTTTGGGACAAAAAGCAAAGGGAATATCGTTCTTGTGGCCAAAAGACACAAAAATGGCGACGTTTTTTAGTCGATATTTCGTTTTTGAGGGTTTTTCACTTTCAGGGTTTAGGATAAAAGAGACTTCGTACGCAATTTTCAAGATAAAAGGTGACTTTTCTAAAATTTCCCTGGTGCCAGCTCGTGCCGCGCCCTGGGGGAGGGAGGTGCAGAACATGCACACAAAAAACCCTAGTGGAAACTCAAGTGATTTTAGAGGGATGATCAAGATAGCGACGGGAATACCTTAAATTGAACAAGCGCTACACTAATAGTAAGTACTAGATGGCTTACCCAGCTCCGCCCGGCCCTGTCATTATTTAATTCGTAATCAGCATGCTCGATTACCCCCTGTACCAACTCCCAGCCCCGTAGCTCAAATTTTGCAAAAAATCGATAAAATCGATGTCGATCGATGACGAAAAGTAGCCTATGACACCCGCCGGGGCCCGAAGTGTATGTGTGCCAAGTTTGGTCCGGATCGGTTTAGAAATGGAATTTTCTATTCGGAACATACGTACACACAGACATACAGACAGAATGACACGCAAAGACTGGGCGCCGTTGCGTCCGGCTAAGATAGTTTGTGCATGGAAGAGACAGCAGATGGTAAGAGAAACGAAAGAGCGCTCGATCAGAGAGACGCCGGTAAGCCCCCGCAGTTTTTGCGCGCTATAAATCGCCTACACCTTTTTTGATTTTCTGCCTTGGCAGCGATTTCGGTGGGTATTTTTTGCTGATAATTACTGTTCACTGGTGAGAAGGCCTGAAAAATAGCGCGCGTGCAGTTTCCCTGCTACAAATGATGCTTTTCATCAAGTAAGAATCAGTAATTTGATTAGGATGTTTATCAACAATTTATATGTGTTTTGTAACATTCTGTATCCTGTTTGAGACCTATGATCTATTATTTTCATTTGTCTATATCTCTCTATAGGTTTTTGTGGTTTCAAAATTGCTAGAACTCTGAAAGGCACGTTTCCCTATTTATCTTCAAGGAACTGTCCATCGTCAACAATTCTCAAGAAATTTGTTCTATAAGTAACCTACTATTTATAAATTTCGTTCCAAAACTCTACATCAAAGACTGCGCAGCGATGTGAACGTGTAAATCCATCTCGCTTCGATTGTTTACGACATGTGTACATTTTTGGAGGGATGCGCTCCCTTGAGCAACGTCTGACACTCACTTGTTTATTCTTTTCGACTAGCTAGTTGAGGGAGAAAAGTTTTGCTCAATTTCGCTGCAGTTAATTCATAACAGAGTAACGACGAAAGAGTTGCAGTCATATGGTCACAACAGAGCAAAGCTCCATATATGGTCGTACCAAAAAAGTCTTTGATTTATTGACCCCTGATTTCCCTCCTGCCTAAATGTGTCGCTTTAAGATCCCTTACTAAAGAACTAAGCCTTGACCAACAGTCTAGAGGTAACCATCTATCAGTTACATTACTTTAAGACTGTGGTGAGAAAGCACTTTAATCTCGCTGCGAATAATCATACCAGAATTTTTGAAAAAAAAAACGAATTTGCGGTGGGCTAGAAGGCACGTTGCCCAAAGAAGTCTTTTATTATTTTTCAAGTTGACTAGGTGCCATGGCTAGTTTTTGAAAATCAACAGGAAGATGGCTGTTAGGGTATACCCTTTGATTCAACAAGATTGTCGGCTGGAAGGCGACCGCTCACGCCCGCAACGCAGTATGCGTTGCGGGCGAACTTGCTCTCTGACCATTTTCTAGCCTTAGTTAAGTCACAAAGCCTGGCCTTCCAGCCGCCAATCCAGTTGAATCAAAGGGTACCTAATGTAACATCTGGACCTAGATACTTTGTACAGGGTGCGTCAAAAGTCTGGGAGCCTAGAATTTTTTTTCGGTAAAATCAGAAGGGAATTACCTAGAAATAAGAAATTTGGCCCACGCATAATGCAAAGTATTACGACTGTAGCCCATCCCTCAAATTTTGAAAAGCCTCTTTTGGCTTCAGCGCAAGTCTTCAGAATCTTGGCTATGCAACTGTCGCGGCACGCAGGTAATCGTAATGAATTTTATCCCACACCTTCACAACAATTGCTTCTTTCACTTAGAAATTGCGCAAAATGATATAGCAAACTTTTGTCTACAATATGCTCTAAGGAAGATTTTCTGCAAAGTTCGCTGATAAAAAATACTGCAATTTCAATTGGAGGCATGCATACGGCGCATACCGAAAATTTGAATACGACTGTTGAAAAGAAAACGGAAAATCAACGTCGAAGAAGCATAGAAACTGTTTCATCAATCAAATTTGAACAGATACTTAAGACACGTGGAAAGAAAATAGCCTTGTTCGCAGTGACTGCTCCGCTTCTATAGCTTCAAAATCCGTTACAAAGACAGGAGGTCCACTGGCACACCGGCATCATTCACAAATCCTTATTTTTCTTTTTCGAAAAAATAGCTGCTGACGAACACTACTGGCAACATGTAATAGCGCAAAGCCTCCTCTACATTGTAGGCGCTGTATTGTTGTAGGATATTTTTGGTGTTTCCGGTTATGGAATAAATTGTAAACACCATAACTTTCAAGTCTTGTTGCGAAAGTACTAGTTTGATTTACTCTTTTATTACAAAAACACATGGCAATCCTTTTAAGCTCAAAAAGGTATTTTTGTAGAGAATGGTTACAGCATCACGTGGCCTAAACTTGCAATCAAACTCATCAGTAGCTTCGTAAGTTAGAGTAGGCTCTCAGACTTTTGACGCATCTTGTCGAAGTATTACACTTGGAGTCAACAGTTCCCACTAGCTTGGGGAGTTTTCATGATCGCAAAGCCTTCTTGGGCAAGATTTTTCTCACACTAGTGACATGTGCGTGTCTCCTACTTTGATATCACAGCAATAAGGAGCGATCGATGATTTCATTCTAAACTATAATACAGGGTCCCAAAAAGATGTGCACACTGTTTGATTGTAAATAACTCTTTTGTGGTGAAGTGTTTCGGGGAGCTTTAGGTAACATTTTGTAGAGCGAGGTTCAACTTAGATTCCAGTGTAGAGCGGATCGCCGATCTCTCATTCTTACTGTAGGATTACGGTAGAAACTTTGAAGAGGGTTTTGAGCCATGAAAGGCCATATTTTGTTCCAAAAAGAAACCAAAACAACCTGAAAACTCTCACACTGGGCTAGCTAGAGTTGCTGATTCTAAATGTGAAGTTCGCAACTCTTCCTAATGCTTCATTAAAAAATTATGCGAGGTAAGCAGTAGCAGACGTTTTTTAAGTGTTCCTAAAAAGTGCGGTTACACCCTTTAGAAAGCACCTCAACCTTGTAAAGAGTTGGGTATTGAACTCAGGGTCCATAAAAACCCTATTACACAAATTTCCACATTTTTCTGAAAATTTTTGAAACGGCCCCTTTTTTCGCAGTGACACCATATGTTCGAAGTTTCTACCGTACTCCTACAGTAAGAATGAACGATCGGCGATTCGCTCTACACTGTAAATCTAAGTTGGACCTCGCTCTACAAAATGGTACCTAAATCTTCTCGAAACACTTCACTACAAGAGAGTTATTTACAATCAAACAGTGTGCACATATTTTTGGGACACCCTGTATAAAGTAAAGCTTGGAATGATTGTTCGGTAGGGCGATCATCCTTGGGTTTCCCTATTCCTGTACTTGATGACGTACGAGCTTTGACATATTCAAGGACTGAGTTCTCTTTGTAAAGCTGAGCTGGATAAAAGTAACATCATCTTACTGTTCGTACACCACCTCCCAACAACCTTTTATCATTTCAATGAGAGCAAAGTAGGCACAATACATTCCAATAACACTGCAGTCATTGAAAAATTGGCAAGAATAAAGTCAGAAGCCAATCCTCGAAGACAGAAGAAGGCGATAGACACGAAGAAAGGACAACCTCGCACCGAAGTGCCAGGCAAAGTGGGAAAAGAGATCAAACATATATACAAGGTGTCCCAAAAAATGTGCACACTGTTTGATCGTTGTTGACTTCTTTGCTTTGATGTTTTTCGCCAACCTTTAGGTACCATTCTGTAGAGCAAAATTCATCTAAGATTTACTCTTCGTTACTGTAGGATTAAGGTAGGAACTTCGACAAGAATTTTAGGCGATTGGAGGCCGTATTCTGCCTAGGAACAAAACCAAACAAAAACTCTCATACTAAGGCAATGGAAGCCGCTGATTTCGAATATAAAATTTTGCATCTTACTACGGTGCTTCTTTCATAACTTATTCCAGGTAAACCGCAATAAGTGAATTTCCACCATTTGTCAGAAATGTGATTACATCGTTCAAAAAAGCTGAAAACGCTCGTAAAAAGTTGTGTAGTAGAATCAGCATGCGCGAAAACCTTAGTATATAATTTTTCATATTTGAAAAAAATCTTGTCAGATGGCGGTTCCATATGCTGGAAGTTCTTACCGTAATTCTACAGTAACGAAGAGCGTTGGTGATGCGGCCCATACTGTAAATCTAAGTTGAACCTCGCTTTACAGAACGGACCTAAGATTTGGCGAAAGACATCAAAGCAAAGAAGTGATCAGCAATCAAAGAGTGTGCACATTTTTTTGCGACATGTACATGATGCTGATTTGTTTAGAGTGGATCCTTATATAGCATCCCCCAAACAGGTTCTGTTACTTTTTCCAGCTTTTCTTCCATTCGTGGGTTATCAATCGCCACCAATTTCTATGGCTTTATTATAACTGTTTTGCTGGAATCTCTGTCCATTTCAATCTAAGCATGACCGCTGCTGGTAAGAAACATTTGGCCTATTACTCGGTTCTGATTGCGCGATCCTAGCTTTTAAATATGATCAGATTCATTTTGTGCGTATTTGAGGGTTTCCCTTTAAATGTTGAAACCAAACATTTAGCAGCTGATATCTGCGAAAAACAATGGCCCGTAGCAAACCCCACCTCACTTCTGATGATCTCAACTGAAGGCCTGAGTTGAGGTCATTAGATAAACTGACCAGCGGCCACTCCCACATGCTTAATAATGCGACCTGATCTGACGGGCAAGCGTCAGGGAAGGTGCCGCAATGAACTCACCTGAAATCCGTAAGAGCAGCGTCGATTTTGAGATGAATCGACCGAGATAGCGTGCAAAAGATGAGACGCAGAGAAAAGATCCGTAAGTTGCTCGTGAGTAACTTACGGGACATCCTACATAACGTACTCCTGCGGTACAAGAACGCGCAAAACTGCACAATACCGGCGCCCAAAAAAGGATCAATGAACAGCTGATTTCGGCAAGAAAACAAGAGAATAGGTTTTTTCCTTTTTGCATAGTTTGCTTAGGTTATTTCTACAAAAGCTACTTAAAGCAACATCTCTTTGTTTATTTCCATCCGATTTTGTCTCTACTTCCTCAGTTTTTGATGAAACCTTGGTTAAAAAACGCAGTTTTGTTTTCTGCATTCTATCGGTTTGTGGATTCCTTGGTAGCGGCTGCCATCGATTTTCTTCGATAGTGGTCGCTATCAAAGATTGCTCAGTGATGAACAAAAATTTGCAGTGGCCGGCGCCGAACCACGGTCGTGCGGGCTGAGTACCAATCACATATTCGTTTGACCACACAAGCGATATAGGTGTTTCCTCTTTGATAACGCGCAAGATTTTTATACCTGAAAAGCGATCTGCATATAAATCGATGGCTCACTGGACGGTGGACCGGGGCGCGTTACGATCAACTCAGGTCCGTCTCAGGGCAGATCCCCTGACGGGGGGTTTACTACGGGCCAATGTTTTCAACTTGTAACTGTGACATCTCCAAATTGTAGACATGACCTTTCTAAGCAATAGTTAATTTGAAGGATTGAGTACGATGTGCACATTTTTTTAGTCTCCTACATCGGAAGCCAATTACACGTCTTGGCTGGCATCCATTGGTCTTGATTTCGGTATTCACGGCAAACACTGGATACATACATCACCAGACACACAACCATAAAATTCTTTGTATCCTCAAAATAATTTTCTGGAACCTAGCAACTTAGTTTTGATCGTTGGTACAGGGCGGCACTAGAAAAATTGAGTTTGTACTTCGAGAGGAGCTCGCATCACACTCAAGGGCGGCCAAACTCTAAAGAAAAATGAGCATCAGAGGCTGAGATGCAGCAGCAGTTCAGTTCTAAGACATCATTGCTCAAAGAAAGAGCTTCTTCATTTTTTGGAAAATAGAAACAGTGATAGACCATTAATGAGTTTATTTTTTGAGATTCATCATTTGTGGTGATTTTGTACAAATGCGCATCCAATTTTCGGCAGGGAGTGAAAGAACTTGGTCACGTTCCTTGACACAATGGCATGACAATTATTACCATCTCAACATTATGTTGGTACTGATTACTGACGTTATTTTTTAAGGGCTCATCTACGACAACTATGACACAACGAAACGGATAGAAAATACCGTGAACAGTATATATAGGATAGTGATCGCAATGCTGGTGATAATTGTTCTGTTGGTGGTCGGCATTCTTCTCTTCGTTTGTTATGTCATCTGTCGGAAGTATCAGAACGAAAGGTAGGTGCTCTCCGTTGTGACGCGTCTTGTCGACGTAATTCCTTCGTGCACTCTGCATTTTTATGTTGTCGCGTTTGCACGCTTGATAGGGAGTAAATGCAAAGATAAACTTGACAAGCAAAATAATCTCCCATAATCGTGTGACGTCACCTTTATTGACATAGTGCAATCTCGAGTTTAAAGGCAGCGTCCCAGCAGAATCAAGTTCCGGGAAAATCCACATTGAAATGGCAGACTTTAGCTTTCTGGCCAATTCGCATCAGATTCTATCAAGCCCATCATAAACTCCTTCTGAAACGGCGAGCGAGCCTCAGTTTGGCATGCGTTTGGATGGCTCTATAATCGTTCTGCGCAGGACTACCATAGCTAGCGTAGTTTCAGGCTAAATTGGAGACGCCTGGGTATTCCAAGACTTTTTTCCCGACTAAACTCCCGTCCGAGTTCTCTTTTGGAATGTTGACAAACGCGTTGAGTTCGGCCCTTTCACGTGGTTGGAATCTTGCTTGGATATAGTGATAAGTTCTTAAAAGTTTCTGCATGTTAACAACACCTAAGCATGACAGCGACAATGAGCTGTCACGCTGAACCTATATCCGAGGTTTGCAGCTCATGAAAATAATGAAAATGAGCTTCTCTAAGCTTCCGAGGTATCCAATTGAAAAATATGTGTAACGGGTAGGGTAACGAGGGGCAGGGTCCGGAAGGCTTTTGAATTGGTTCGAAACCTTTCAGACCACTTTTTAGCTCCAAACTTCACTGATAAATGGGGAGGGGAGGGGCCTGCCAACGCAGCGCCGTAACTTCATACCAGCTGGGACGCTGCCTTTAATTTCCCTATTGTGAAACCTGCTTTGCCCAGCAGTAGCATAGACCGCAGTTCAGAGTGCTGTCCTTTTCTTCTAAACGCAACTCGATTCGTGCAGCTCGCTTAGAATGCAGGTTGTGGGGAAAGTTTTTGGTCTCACATTTCAACAAGTACACATACATCGCAAACATATTCATTCATCCAGTTTAGTCTCGCGGAAAGCTCGGCACACTTGTTAAGAAAAAAAGCGCACTCCATTTGCTCTTTTTTATATGATTGCTTTGGAGTTGAGCTACCTTTCACTACCTACTTGACCTCTTTGCTTGAAAAGTCTTTTTCTGCTAAATGGGCCTCACACCGTCCATTCTAAGTTAGGATCTTAAGCTTCCAACATCCTGCATTAGTAGGGCTCCCTTTTAAGCCAGTGCCCAAGTCGCGGCGCAAAATGTCGCTTCGAAAGCGAGAAAATGCTCCAGATTAACGAACAAAGCAGAGGACCCTTAGGCATCAACGCCTTCTCCAGTAACGTCCGCCCATCCGTGCCCGCCTCAACCAATCCGGTTAACCCCGACAATCACGCATATTCTCCGGAGTGGGGATCGTCAGGTTTCCGCGAATTCTTATGTTCGGAAAAGGGACATGAGAAGGTCGCGGAACGACAACATGAAAATCGAGAATTTGGGTAGACGGAGATTTTTGAAAGTGCTAAGTTAGTTTAGGATAGTATAAAAGGTGTTTGATCGGTGAAAAGTCAGTTTTTAGAACTTGCTACATTGTGTCGAGCGCGCTATCTCAAAGAACAACGTTCCTTTGTTTTGAGTGCGCGTCTCTTGAAAATGATGTTATCATTATCATGTAGGTGATTGAAAAAGTCAACGTAGTACCCGCCATTGATTTCTTTGACCATTTGAAGGTAGTCGATCATTCAGGACTTTTACTTTGTGGCAGTTCACCTCTCACAGTCTAACGTAGTGACGTATCATAAGACTTTGAAATGTAGTTCCGGCCCATAATTCATCCACGTCACGGACCACTTTTGGAAAGCTGAGCATTTTTCTGACAATGGATTCCTATCAGAATTTCCTCAGAAGCCCATTTTTCCAGGTTTTTGTCTAGACTCTAAAGTGAGGGCACTCTACAAAGTGTTTAAAGCATTCTTATGTGGAGATATTCAAGAATGATATGTGTGCTACGCTAATCTACACAGCCTTGGCTACCGTTCCTGATACTGAGCTGACGACTGTCCAAAATTGATCAGTAACTTGAAGGTTGACTTCATTGCGACCAAGATGAAGATAGCTGGTGTTAGCTCGGCTCCACTTGACCTCTTATTTTTTATCACAGTGCGGAATAAAAGAGCGTTGGCTCCTTGCACGCTATCGAGCTCCGGTGTTACTTCGATTGCTTGAGCTCCTCTATATGAATGCACGAAGCTGCGTGCCATTGTTGTTGAAGTTTTCTCTTTTTCCGATATATCACCTGTATCACCTGTATCCCCGTTGATCATCGTGTTGCACGAGCGGGTACCAGTGATGCCTCCATTCGTCCCTGTCTCGGGCGATTGTTGGCCAATGTTTACGTATCGCACCAGGAACACGTGACGCTCTGAAGGACTTCATTAAAGGACTTCGTGAACATATCTGACCATCGCGTCGGCGGTCTTCCTCGTTCGCGTTTGACGTCCAGTGGTATCCAATCTGTTACAGCTCTCGTCCACCGGTTGTCGTCGAAACGCATTACGTGCCCGGCCCATCTTATCTTGTTCTGCTTGGCGTACGCGGCAGCGTCCCTGATCTTCGATCGTTGACGTAGGGTAGAACTTCGTAATCCTTCCTCACTTGCGTAAGTCGATTCACTCCTAGCATTACTCTCTCAACAGCCCGTTCGATGACGCTAACCGCGTGTTCATCCTGCTTTCTCATTGTCCTGTTTTTGAAGCGTACGTCAAAGCAGGAAGAACCGTCGAGTTGAAAAGGTGGGCGCGGAGCCGGATGTTCTTGGTCTTCTTCACTACGACCTCAATTGTCTTATATGCTCCCCATGCTGCACGTTTCCTCCTGCTCAGTTCCGGAGCTAGATCGTTCATCATATTGAGTTCACGACCTAGGTAAGTGTAGCTTGAGCATTCGGTGATGTTCGTTCCGTTGAGCATGAAAGGAGCATCAGGCACTCTTCCGTTCCCCATGAACATCGTCTTCGTTAGATTCAGCCGTAGACCGATCTTTCCACACACTTCGTCAAACTGGGCCAGCATTTGTTCCGCCTGCGTGATGCTTGGTGTTATCAATACGATGTCATCAGCAAAGCGAAGGTGGTGTAGCTGCCGGCCGTCGACTTTCACTCCCATGTTGTCCCATTTCAACTTACGCATGACGTTCTCCGAGCGGCACTGAATAGTTTCGGCGATATAGTATCGCCTTGTCGCACGCCTCTCTTCACGTCAATGATGATGTCCTTGTAGAATGGTGTTATGGTGGTTGTGAAGTCGTTATACAGCTCACGAATTATCTTGATGTAATGAGTCGGAATACCTTGATTGCTCAAGGCATCGATGACGGCTTCAGTCTCAACCGAGTCAAAGGCCTTCTTCAAGTCGATGAAGGTGAGACAGAGCGGCATCTTATACTCTCGTGACACTTCAATGAGCCTTGACACCGTGTGTATGTGGTCGATCGTGCTGAATCCTCTTCGAAACCCAGCTTGCTCGCATGGTTGTCCTTCGTCCAACTCTCTTCCGATCCTGTTGAGAATGACTCGCGTAAAGAGTTTGTAGACTACAGACAACAAGCAGATAGGGCGATAATTGCCGATGTCGCAGGGATCTCCCTTCTTGTACAGCAACACGGTTTTGCTGTTCTTCCATTGCCTTGGAACCTTGCCTTCCGTCAGGTACCGCGTGAAGAGCCTTGCCAAAGTCTTGATGAGAACTGGCGAAAGATTCTTCAGATGTTCTGGCTTAATCCTGTCAGGACCGGGTGCTTACGGTTTTTCATCGACATGATAGCATGACGAATCTCGGAAGGAAGAACAGACGGTGCGACATACTCGTCCTCCTTGAGATGGCATGGTGGAAGGTGGACGTGGCTCGCAAAAAGATCCGAGTAGAAGTCGTGGATGACCTTCTCCATTGATCTTCGGGAAGCAGTTATGGTTCCGTCAGGACGACGAAATGCGGTCATCTTTGTCTTGAAGTTGACGAAGCTTCGGCGGGCGTTGCGTATACTTCTTCCAGCCTCCGCGGCGTCAACCATCACTGCTACTCTTCTCTCCTTAAGGTCTTCTTTTATCGCTTCTCTGCATCGCTTCGCAAGCTCGGAGTCAGTCGGTAGTTGCCTGTGGCTCGTGCGCGTCCACGTTGGCGTATCAGCTCCAAAGTCCCCGTGGTGAGACGCCTTCTCGTACTTCTTAGACTCTGAGCTTCCTTGGCACAACCGTGGAGATGTTGTACGAACCGTTCGTATTCTTCGTCGATGTTGTCCATCACGGTATCTCGCCATGAGCCGGATATCGAAGAAAACAGATCCCAGTTGGTGGTATTCATGGGACGATGTTTCCTGAACTTGACGGCTCTCTCTCCATTCCGCGGAAAGTAGAATTTGGCGCGCAGGAGACGATGGTCTGATCCCGTGTAGAACTTCGGAACAACAGCGACGTCCGTCAGGCAGTACCTTCTGTTGACGATGATGTGGTCAATCTCGTTATGGTACTCTCCACCGGGCGATTCCCAGGTCCAGCGTAGGGAAGAGGGCTTTTGGAACTGTGAGTTTCCATGGATAGTCCTCGTCGTCATGATAAACTCGGACAGTCTCTCCCCTTGTTCGTTCCACTGCAAACCATGGGTTCCGATGTGAAGTTCCTCAGTCGTCCTTCTAGTTCCGATCTTCGCGTTGAAATCACCGACGATGATCTTGTAGAAGGTATGATCTTCTCTGTAGAACTTCTCCAAGTCCATATAAAATTCCTCGAGTTCGTCCTCGTCGTAGCTGGATGTTGGGGCGTACGCAATGAAGACGGTGAAGGCAGGGATTGATCCACATCTTGATATTCGCAAACGTCCGATTCGAGTTGTAAGTTGTTCGAACGAATCGATGTTCATGGCCAAACTCGTGTTGACAAGGACTCCCACTCCACCTACTCCTCGACTGTCGCATGTTCCTAGAAACAGTTCTTCTCCAGTCTCAAATGTGGCGTTTAGCGGGTGGTGCCTCCTTGTCTCGGTCAGTCCGATGACGTCGTACTTAATCTTCCTTGCTTGCATCATGAGATCTTCGATAGATGCGTCCGATGCCAGCGTCCTCGCGTTGTAAGTACAGATCGTCATCATAGTCCGTCTCGTTTTCGGCAGTCTAGATCGCCTTTCAAACCTTGTCCCCACTGGCGCTGCCTTACCAGTGGCTCTTCCAAGATTAAAGGAGCTTTCCATATTATCACTGTGTCGAACAAGAATTTACTCGCAGGGATAGCTTGTTGGGCTCAAAACCCCCGCGAGGGACGATCGGAGCTTATTTGTTGGAGGCGACTCCGAACTCGCCTCCCCACACACCTACCCGGGAAATTAGAACGCAAGCTTTTAGTGGAGGCAGGGAGTCCGTCCCCCGGCTCCGCTTGCTTATCAGAGCAGGCGCGGGGTCGCTTTTGGTCGGCGATTATCCCCCTATCCGCCACCTGGGGACGCCCCACGTAGTCTCGCGACTAACCGGTTGTGATCCCTCTATGAGGGAGATCCGTGGTTCCGATATATCTGAAAAAGAAATGATGCGGAAATTCTGTAGGTTAGACAAGCTCAAGGAAAAAGCATTACAATATTTGTACACGAAGAACTTGAGGCCAGAGACTTTCCATACACCCTGGACTTCGGGTGAAAATGCGACTGGTGATACCTGCGTAATGACGACTCTTAACAATGCTTTCGCAGTCCAGGTGAATCTCACCTTCCAATACATTCCACATCATCAATGACCAAAGATAGTTTCCTGATGAACTGGTGTAGGGCTCAGATCAAGAGTTTCTAGTAACCCGTCATCCTCTGTTTGCTTCTCGTCATTCTGTAAGTGCTGTCACCCTGTAGCGATTGTTTTGTCCTCCTTATTTGAATTGCAGCGCACGCTGTGCTCACAACTTAGAAACTATTGGCTCATAATGATTGATTTCGATAGTTATGAAAAGAGTCATCAGGCGCCGAAAACATCTAACGACTTTGAGATACAGTAAAGTACAGGAATTATGACTTCTCTCTAATTTAGTCATAAATGGTCGAAAGAACTAAAGAAGACCTTTCCTTCCAGCAAGTTGTGGCCTGAGTCACACTAAGTGAAGCTTTTGTGATGACTCTGGTCATACATTTCACTGTAAATTACTCCTTCTTATTAATACTGGGTGCATCTTCGTTAAATTTTTTTGGCATCACTTTTCTTCTCACAGTTTCCAGTCTCTTTGAGCTAGCAATGCTTTTCGCATAGACATTTATAATCAAGTCTTATCTAAACCAGTGCTGCGCGCAATGCTTTGCATTCCACGGCTTTTCAATGATAAATATTTTTTTACTCTACACATTCAAAGCTACTCGAATGCACAGCGTTGAAACCTAAGGCTTGGGCCAGACTGCTACCTACGCAACGTATTCGCCATATGAGCACGTAGCGTACGCTGCGTACATCGCGCACATCGCATACGCCACGCAATCTGGCTCAAACCTAAATGCTAGTGCCTCACTCCGAACACCAACGCGGTGAAAACACTATGTTCTTAAGCGCACAAATTTGTCGCAACAGGCAAGCTCAGAACCTCGCTTAGCTGATTTTTTATCGAATTTTTAAGTCATTCCCACCCAAGCTATTCTATTATAGAATGTTGAAACGCGAAAGCTGAACCTATATCTTTAACGAAGATGACTGCCTGTAGCTCTAGCAAAAACCGCTCGTGCATGATGGTGTTTGAGGCACGACGCGACAGATTTACACAGGCTGTGCTTATAAGCCTTTTTATTAGGTTGGCAAGAAACCTTTCGGACACGGAAGTTCAAGAGTGTTTTTGCTTCGATGTGACTAGATGGGGCATACGGCATACTGCTGGAGAGAGGTAAGCAAGCCCTACAATAAGTCAAAAACGAGCATAACCAGTTTACAAGCATCTACAAACCGGTAATTGAAAGCGTAATTAGCCTACATGCCTTCTCATTCCGTAAAAGCTATGACATCAAACATATTCTTATATATGACGATGACGCATACGCACATACATACATACATACATACATACATAGCCTATAAAGGTCGAGACAAAGAACACTCATGAATGCGGAGCGTGCGCGAGCGTACGAGTTCTGATGATGAGAGGATGCTCGAACGTTGGCACCTGCTTCGTAAAATAAGTCAACCGTCTTTTTCAGGACTAGCCCTTTGAGTATTGGAACTTATTTGACAAAAAGGTAATGAAAAAGTGTAAACTTTGCGCTTCTGTTAACAGATCCCTCTCACCCGCGTAATTATGAATTATGCACAGGCGAAGGTACAACAGCAAATTTCACTCTTATGCGTGCATTATTCCTGACAAACAGCAATCAGTTCAGAAATGTCCGAAAACTTTCTTGCCAACCTAAAATTCCACCGTGTAAGCTTTGCCAGACTCAGCGTTCTGTAGAAAACTTAGTTTACTAAACCAACATAAATCCCCTCGTGTTCGCTGTGGTTGCATGGTGTGTTGCCTTCTCTGAATCGCTCTCGCACAGAGCTGTTCTGCTTTTAGCGATTCGCCTACACAACATTTTCCGCTGAAAACTTTTCGCGAGCAACGAAGCAGAGTTGAGCAGCAGCCAGCGACCGAAAAGCTCATGCGACATCACACGCGTAGCGAAACAACCTCGTTGGCACAAGCTAGCACGTGACACCTTCTCTTCTGCCCTGCTCTCGCTCACCGGCTGCGACAAGGCATGCGTTCTTAACCTTTTTAGGGTCTCTTTCGGGAAGAAGGCGGTAGTTTACGCAATGTAAGCGTGCGCGAGCGCAGCGCGCGGGCAGCGACCTTGAGTGTGTGCACCCCCATGCGCCAATCGGTTGCTCACTACCGCCTCATTCGCGCCCGCCTCTTTGCTCCAACCATCCGCCTTCGTCCGGGATCGGACCTTAACTTCTGAAAATTTCTCTATTTGTTTGTGATAATGACGCACAGCTGAGCGATGACGCAGTTTTCAGGGCTTCGCCGATGCACCAACCGCGGAAGTCCGCACCTATCGAAATCTGAATGTTGCACCGCGACAACCGGGTCTCGTCAGACATGCTCAAGCCTTCGAACTCGAGAAACTCCGCCGATAGCGCCTCAGAGAGCTACACTCGCTCGCACTCTTGTTAGGTTTTTCCTCTATCTCTTGTTTTACACTCTGTTCTGTGCCCCGCATTTTTTAGCAGTCTAATGCATTTTTCATGATCTCCATGAAACTGAAAAACGTTAGCCTCCTCTCTGTTATGTATTCTCTTTGCAAATTTAGGCTGCGTTTGGAGCTGTTTGTGCTGCCGTTCCAGCGATGTTCTAGCGAAGTGCTGAGACCGTGCAGTCGATCGATACGCTGTGCTTTTCCAGGTGGGATCCAGCATGGCCTTGGGAGTCGTTGCGGCACTTCGCTAAAACGGCGCTGGCTCAGGTGCCAGCACGCACACTCTGAACGCAACCTTAGCGAGAAGTCAATATTTGAGAGTTTTTTAGGCAGTAAGTGTATACCTGTGTTTCTTTCATAAACTCCTCAATTAGGCATACTGCGACGAGTACTGCCAAGCACTGATAATCACAAATAATTGAAATGCTCAAACTTTATCCTTGTTTCTTTCACTGTATCGTCGGCGATTTTCACCGGCGGTCAATCGAGCCATCTCTGCCGTTTTTTTCTTTGAATGTTTGAAGATTGTGACCATTATGTATCTCTTTATACATATTGAGCCCATTCCTGTGTATCTCAGTTTATGATTGATTGTTTACGATTAGAAGGAGATCATTTCATGGAATGGGTTCATGTTTATATTCAACTGTTAAGAGGTGAGATAAGAATAGAACGTGAATGAAAACTTTTTATGACGTTTCGAAACTTGAAAAAAGGGAAGACAGAACGCATAAAAAATTGCGAACGAGCCCTATGTACTTTTGCCCATTTACAAAGAAAGGATACCAGCATTAGTCGGCAATTGAAGATGAGATGCATAACGCTAGATGCGCCTTTAAACGTTGATACCAAATCTGTTTTCCTTTTTTGCGGAATAGGTTTCCGAAAGAAGCTATGAGCGTTTGAATGTTCAGATTTGCCAAGCATTTGGCTTAAAATCAGCGAAAAGCTCTAAAACAATAGATATGCGATTTCCACCGGCTTTGTTCCTTCCTTGCAAACAATATACTCGATACAAAAATGATTTTTCACTTTTCGGTGTTTTAGTACAGCTTTTCGCCAAGTTTACACCACCTAACCTTAACAAATTTAAACATTTGAACGCCCACAACTTCCTTCGGAAACTTCTTCCGCAAAAAAAGGAAAGCAGATTCGAAATCAGTGTCCAAAGGCGCGTCTACTTGTACATCTTATCTTCAATCGCCGACTAATTCAACCTTCTTTTGTTAGACTGCAGATAGCAAATAGATACGTATTAGTCAGGCTTTGCAGCTTAGATTAACATCCAGGGAGTTAGGAGGCTACGCTACCTGTCCCAGGAACTAAATCTGAGGGTATATTGAGGTTCAAGGAAGTTGAAAAAAGCAAATAAACAGATCCTTTTGTTATCTTATAGACACAATGGATGAATGAAATTCTGTAAACTCGACTTTTTTATATCCTAATAGCTAGAGATCTCTCTACCAATGAGCAAACAGCTCACTCAGCATGGCATGAGAACCATGAGTAGGTAAGTACATATTGAAAAACAAGTAGTTTTCAAAATAACCCTAGAGTTACCAATACATTGTGAGGTCCTGGAACTCGATCTAATTTTATTTAAAAAAATCTCGGAAGTTTTGTATCCCTAGAATCGTGGAGAATACCCGGCAAAAGTTTTTGTGGCTTTTGAGCTGTTTGCCGCGTTTCATTTGATTGCTGAATATTATCAATTACAAATGAAATTCAAAATCTAGCGATTGAGTGCATCTCATGAAGAAAGCAGAGTGAAGCAACAGCTGTAAGTCCAGAGAAACTATACTCAACAAAAACTGCATGTTACTTGATAACATCAATCGTTTCGATGCTAGTGCTGATAAAAAGGTCCTAATCGCACAACGATTGACAGTTCTGCACTTTACACAGGGATCTCTCCCCGATCGACTCCTTGATTTCCAACATTTTTCGTTTTAATTACTTGTATTCTGGTCCAAATCTAGCATTTCTGCTATAATTTATTGAGTTCTGCAAGTTTCGTATCAGTCTGTAAATTGTGACTGAGAACCAATTTAAGAAACAAATTCCAGGCTGTTATGAGAGTGAAGCCTTCGACCTCCACCCTAAAATGGTGTCGTGAAGAGCTTGTGCCAATGCTCATCGGCTTACGCATCATCGTAAAGAGTCAACTTGGCTATCAAGGACGAAGAATGACCGATTTGACGCAAAATCCTTTTAAAAGGGTCGCCACCGCGGATGTCAGCTTATCGAGAAAACAAAGATCGCAACTAGACTGGACTCTCGGCGACTATGCGTCCGATGCTTTGCTCAGGGCAAATGCTGTAGCAATGGGATTGAAGACTTATTCACAACTGCTACTCAAAGGTATCACGCCAGGCACCGGTGGTCATACAGTATCACAGAGTGGTGAGAAAATCTACGGCTACAAAAGTTCTGGATTGAGCTTGGACCCTCTCTCGGGCCTCGGCAAAGTGGCCGAGCTAATTCTAAAAGGTGCTTTTGCACAGCCAAAGTTTCCGTCAAATTCGGAACAAACGACTATGGAAAAGCCAATGTTCAGAGAGTCAGACTTCGCAAACTCAAAATTTGTGCGTGAGAGGGAAACAAAACCGAAGCTGTAACTTGTAACTTCGCATCAATTTTGTAGAATATTCGTTTATTTTCTAGCATTTGATTTGCAGCATGAGATAAAAAGTACATCGTAAATTGAGACTTTGTAGGTCTTCCGCTAACGGCGGAATTTGTACATGGTTTATGGCAGCGATTTTCAATGCTTTTAACGCAATCATTCCTTTATTCTCCCTGAATGTTTTATTCTTTCAACAAAACGTTGTGCACTATTCTCATCAGCGAGAGCTTCTTCCTATAACTAAACTAAATTGTTTTTCTTTGCTAGCATTCTTTCTTCCAAGTGAGGAATCCAGATTTAGCAGAAGAAATTATTGGACTGACGGATGAACTCTGTCATACTTTTTCATTCTGATTGAAAAATACAAATAAGGCATAAAAATACTAGATTTGATTCCTACTCAGATTTGATCTTACCATTGCAGTAATTTCCAGAAGAGACTTTTCAAAGTTGCTTGCATCTTGCTTCAACGATAAGGATTTTTGATGACTATATCCCCGCGTTTTTCAGTTTGAACTTTTGCGATTCCTTCAGTTCTTCGCGCCAACGCGCAGATTATCTATGTATTTATGGATTCATCATCGCTTCATGCATGTTACTCTTGAGCAATTAGAATGTCGAGAAATTGTAACAAATTCCTTGTTTGGTACTACTTCTGGAACCTATATAATATCGCCTTGAAATCATTAGATAAATGTAACAGGACATCCAGTAATTGTGATCATTGAGTCAGCAATATTCCACTGAGCTGTTATCATCTGATGCAGAAAACTGCAAAAAATTAACAGCGTATTCGATTTACTAGTATTAGGTTGTCCCATAAGTCTTTTCATTTTCGAGTTTTCGCTGTGTTAAGTCGCACACTTTTTACTCTAATTAGATATCAGGATACCGTTCGATGGAACAAAGCAAGCTCTATAAGATGGCTTTTATGCTTCTGCACCAGCTTCGATCCACGCCAAGTTTGAGACCAAAACCTAAAACGTTTTGAATGCCCAGAAAATTGAAAAATTTTTATATCTTCATTCAGAAAGGTTCTACAGATCTCTCACTCGCTCACATATATACACTCCATAGACACTCATATGTGCTGTTGCTGTATTTTTTCAGTGACTAGAAATCAAGAAAACGAAAAATTCCATGTTTTTGCTAAAGTAATGCTGTGCTGTTCTTACACTAACAGTTGTATACTACGAGCCCTCAGAAGTACAATTGTAAATTTTCAGCTCTCTATAAGCTGCAGTTTCTGAAAAATATCGAGTTTAGCTTTCCTCACTTAAGTTTTTCACGCTTAACTCAACATTTCTCCGAAACCAGAGCTTATAGAGAGCTGAAAATTTGAGATTGTACTTCTGAGAGCTCGTAGTATACAACTGTTAGTGTAAGAAAAGCACAGCATCACTTCGGTAAAAACGTGAAATTTTTCGTTTTCTTGATTTCTAGCCAATGAAAAAATACAGCAACAGCACATATGAGTGTCTGTTGTGGAGTATGTATGTGTGAGCGAGTGAGAGGTCTGTAGGACTTTTCTGAATGGAGATATAGAAAATTTTCAATTTTTTGGGCATCCGAAACTTTTCAGACTTTGGTTTCAAGGTGGATCGAAGCTGGTGCAAAAGCATAGGAGTCGTTATAGAGCTTGCTTTGCTCTATCGAATGGTATCCTGATGTCTATTTAGGATAAAAAGTGTGCGACCTATCACAGCGAAAACTCGAAAATGAAAAGACTTATGGGACAACCTAATACATCAAATGCTAATCAGGCACTTCCAAAACTTTTCGCTTTCGCAGTTACATATCAAGAGCAGAGACTCACTGCATCGAGAAATGGGGTAGACAAGGGCACGGAATCGCGGCCTAATGAGTGTTGATGCCCGCTTCATTGATGCACATAAGCTCTGCCATTGAGCGTTCTAATTTTTTCCGGTCGGAATCGCTGAAATGTCCTTTTTAATGCCTGAAAAGACGACGGTATGACCGAAAGCTGTGAGAACCGAACATTATTGCTTTTTGTGCATGCGGTAAAGCAGGACAACGGTTGTACCTACAATGGAGACGCAAACGCCTGCATCAAATAGCTTAAAGAGATAGTAAGATAGGACCGCCTTCAGGGCCAGTAGTAATTCCCCTCATATGTTGCAAGCTAAAGAAAGCACTGTCATGACATGTCCGAGGAAGTACGTGCTGCTCACGACCATGCTTTAGTCGCTCCCTCTTTGTATAGCATGTGCGAAATGTCCTCCTTTGATACACTACAGCCTTAGCAGCAGTACTTCTGAACGGTGATTTCTTGAGGATACTTCAAAGTGATCAGCTCGAGTCGGGTACAGACGTTGTTATGTCTCATTAGTGCTCGTTTGCAATTGAGCGGTTTCATTCATTTGCACCGTACAGGGCTGAAGCCAGTTAAATCTAATAGCAAGTAACTTATCGAAGTATTCATTGGGACAATGACAAGTTATTTTTCGCAGCAGGCTTCTATGTGTTGAGCGCTTCTTACAGATTTGAAACAACAAGGGTGTACTTGTGACTATAAGTCATTAATTTCGGCAGCAAGTCAACGCTCAAGCTACAGTGGTGTCATCCGCAGTCTTAGAGTACAGATACCGGCATCTCCACACGTAGATTCAAGCTTGTTTGGTTCTATGCCTTCTTTGCTCTGACCGAACATCGTTACAAGAGTACTTTATTTTATATGGAAGAGCTACACTGTTTTTCTAGCTACTCTGATGGGAAAGAGCTTCGTTCTTTTCCAATAATCACAAGATTGCTATCTGGTACAACTTTGTTCGGAATTCGTCGACTCCGCAATCTTTGTGCCCCTCACAAAAATTAATAAACTCTTCACTCATAGAAAGTGCTGATTTGAGTGCAGTATGCAGCAACTTTTGTACTGCATATTTTCGAACTGAGCTGCTGCTCGTGGAGGGTAGTGTTGCATAAGCCACTAAATCTGCGCTCAGTCCGCAACAAACACTAAATTACATAATTAAAACATTGAAAAAAAAACCCGTCGGCGGAGTGAGATGAGCAGAGATAGGTACTCGAGCTCAGCGAACTCCTCGCGGTAACGTAGAAAACAACCTGATGAAAATCAATTCCATGGTAAGATTTTGTAGAAGCATGCATTAATAGTTGGAAGTTCAAAAATAAGTACCCGTAGACACGGCTACGATTAACAGCCTCGATCCACTATACGTTTAACGAAGATAATAGAAGCTTAAGCATGATGTTAAGCAGTAGGAAACCGTGATTATTGCTCAAATGAAGAGTTTTCAGCAGTGAGTCAAATCAGATGGGTACTTCCTAGCCATTTTTCTTGAGGGCAACCCACGACTTCGATTCAACTGACATAGGTACTGTTTTATGCTTATAATCGTTTAATTTTTTTTAACTTTACTCAAGTAGGCTATATCGACCTACTTGTCTAGGCCCATAGGCCATGCCTAGACCAATTGGTCAAAAGTCCAGTGGGTTAGCGTCCTTTAACTAAAAATACTATTACAACTGTTATTATGCATGTAATGAAACTTTTATGACAAAGCGCTTTATTCGACAAGACAAGAGATTCTTTCATTGAGACTCGATATGCATTACTCAATCTTGATATAACATTAAAAAGACACTACAATTGAAATGTAACCACAGAACCTACAATATTGATGGAAACAATTCAACCCTTTCTTCTTCTTATAACTCGATCAGCACTCTCCTTGGTTCTCTTGATACCACGAGACTAAAATCAAACATTGATAAATTAAAATGCTGGTCTTATAATATAGACTCACAACGGTCTCAGAATAAGAGCAAGTAGGTTGGTTTTCTTTTTCATTCCCATCATCGTCTTCCTCTAAACCGGGAAGAATCATTTTGCCGACATGCAATGCGCCCGAGTGAATTACTATGTAAATCGAAATCGATTTTATTCATTCAAACAGCATTTGTTCAGGATGAAAATCAAAAACAAAGCGATCTCAAATTCCTTTTTCAACTTCGAGTCGATAATTTCGTCGAATGGGAAACCTTGCCAATCAGCATAGTTCTATTCAAGACTTCGAGCCAGAACTACTGAATCAAACTGAAAAGAACATACTATATTTATACAGAGTCATTGACATAATCAAACTCACCACATCAAAGCTACCAACTTCTATTTTTGACATTTTAATCTTTACATAGGCCTCTTGTGCTTTGATTCGTACCTCTCCTTAATTCTGTTTCGTAGATATAAATTGAAAATATACAACTGGTGATCATCAAATATAGTCTACTTACCATAACTTATTCTGGTCCGTTTGTCTTAAACTTTTCGTGTATCAAGGTGATTTTCGTCTCTTTGGCATTGTATTCCCCGAGACGATTCTTGCCCACCGCATAAAAGTAACTCTAAAATTTATAGCTCATTTTAGCTTATAAAGAACATAGGCTAAAATGAGCTACAGAAAACAGAAGACGATATAGGAATGGACACATATTGTAATTATATGGTTCCATCCTACAATTACATCCATATAATGCCTTAAATAAAAATAATTACCAATCAATAATTTATAGCTGGTATTAGTTTATACACACCACCCGTCGCTGTCCGGAATTTAACTATCTCGAAGGGGTTGTGCACTGCTGTATCAAGCTCCGGGCGCGTCTCAGAAAGTGGTAATCGGTAAAGCGTACAATATCAGAGTCGTTACTAAGTGGCGGCAGTCATTACAGTGGGAAGTTCGCATTTTGTTGGAATTTGAAATCGAGCACTGCTGAAAGCTGTCTAAAGTAAAACTTCAGTAGCTCGGTCTTCACGAATTGTTCGATAAACCGTCCGGCCAGCTGAACATTGGTTACTGTCATTGCTTGCTAACCAAACATATTTTCTGCAATTCTGTGAATGCTCACTTAAACCCAAATTATCCGTTCAGCAATTATCCATTATTATCCATTATCCATTTCAATTATCCATTATCAATTATCCATTCAGCAATTCAAGCTTTGAACCAT